TGACCAAAAAATTTTTTTAAAAGATTTTATTTATTTATTTGACAGAGAGAAAGGGAACACAAGCAGGGGGAGTGGGAAAGGGGGAAAAAGGCTTCCTGCTGAGCAGGGAGCCCGATGAGGGGCTTGATCCTAAGACCCTGGGATCTTGACCTGAGCTGAAGGCAGATGTTTAACTGATTGAGCCACCCAGGTGTCCCACAATTAATTTTTTTTTAGTGTTGTTGTATTCTGAGACCTTGGTGAATTCACTGATTAGATCTAGGAATTTGTTGGTAGAATCCTCAATATTTACTCTGTAAAAGATCATGTTATCTGCAAGTAGGCGACCTTTCATTTCTTCCATTACAATCTGCAAGCCCTTTGTTTTATTTTCTTGCCCTATTGCATGAGTTAGAACTTCCATTATTTTCTTGTGTAAGAGAGGTGAGAAGGGAAATTCTTTAAATTTTATTTTCCAGGGTTCCTGGGTGGCTCAGTGGGTTAAGCCTCTGCCTTCAGCTCAGGTCATGATCTCAGGGTCCTGGGATCGAGTCCCGTGTCCCGCTCCCTGCTCGTGGGGAGCCTGCTTTCCTCTCTCTCTCTCTGCCTGCCTCTCTGCCTACTTGTGATCTCTGTCTGTCAAATGAATGGATAGAATCTTTAAAAGGAGAAAAAATAAAAATAAAAAAGAAATAAAATCTTAAAAAAATTTATTTTCCAAATGTTGTTAATGTTATACAAAAATTACAACTTAAAAAACGAAAACTGATTTTTGAATTTTGACCATGTTTCCTAGACAGAGCTAAATTCATTTATCAGTTCTAGTAGTTGTTTCACAAGTTTCCTTGTTAATGTCACCTGCAAATGGAGACAGTTTACTTCTCTTCTGATACTTACACCTTTCCTTTTCCTTGACTTATTGCACTGGCCAGTACCTCCAGGAATATGTCAAATAAATGTGGTGAAAGAGGTCATCTTTGGCTTGTCCACAATCTTAGATTGAAAGTATACAATAGGGGCACCTGGGTGGCTCAGTGGGTTAGGCCGCTGCCTTCGGCTCAGGTCATGATCCCAGGGTCCTGGGATGGAGCCCTGCATAGGGCTCTCTGCTCTGCAGGAAGCCTGCTTCCCCCTCTCTCTCTGCCTGCCTCTCTGCCTGCTTGTGATCTCTCCCTCTGTCAAATAAATAAATAAAATCTTTTAAAAAAAAGAAAGTATATAATATCACCTTTAAGTATGATTTTGGGAGTAGATCTTTTTTCAAAAAATTATTTTTTTCTGAGAGAGAGAAAGAGTGTGTGTGTGTGTGTGTGCGCGTGTGTGTATGAAAGAGAGAGAGAGAGAGAGAAAAGGAACAAGGGAGGGGCAGAGGGAGAGGGAGAGGGAAAATCTTAAGCCAACTGGCACTGGGCATGATCTCATGACCCTGAGATCATGACCTGAGCAGAGTTCAAGAGTCAAATGCTTAAATGACTGAGCGAAACAGGCACCCCTGTAGATTTTTTTTCTACATATATTTTGTGAGATGAGGAAGTTCCCTTCTGGGCTCCTGGGTGGCTCAGTTGGTTGGACAACTGCTTTCGGCTCATGTCCTGATCCTGGAGTCCTGGGATTGAGTCCCGCATCGGGCTCCCTCTTCACTGAGGAGTCTGCTTCTCCCACTGACCCTGCCCCCCTCAGGCTCTCTCTCTCTCTCTCACACACACACAAATAAATAAATAAAATCTTTAAAAAAAAAAAAAAAAGGAAGTTTCCTTCTACCGAGTTTTTAATTTTGGTTACTATATTTGGCTATTTGTATTGTATTTCTATTCTATTTGTTTTTTTTTCAAATCTGTTAGGTCATTTGGTAGTGGTAGTGGTGGTGTTTCCTGCTTTTTGCAATTATTTTTCAAGTTTATGTCTTATTTTTTTTAAACATAATATTCAGGGGCACCTGACCAGCTCAGTGAGTAGAGCATGTAGCTCTTGATCTTGGGGTTGTGAGCTCAAGTCCCACATTGGGTGTAGAGATTACTTAAATAAACATAAACAAACAAACATAACAATAATCAGAGATTATAGTCTTGGTTTAATAATTCCAATATATGATATATTTACAAATGTTGGCTTCTGCTTTCTGTCATTTCTCTGTGTGCTGGGATATTTCTGACTGTATATTCTCTTCGAAAACTTATTTGAAGGAATTAGCTTCCACTAGTTACCTGAACACTGCCAATCTGCAGTCACTTTAAATATACAGCTTGAGTATTTTTCTCTTTTTTGACCACACAAATGATGTAATTTGAAGCTACATATCCACTCCAGGCCTGGCTTTTCATCACAACTCAGAAATAGTTTCTTTCTTCTCTTCTGCTCAGCACCTAGGTACTTACTTGTAATCCCCTAGGGCAAAGCGCCTGGGTTAGGTTACTCTTGGTTGACTCAGTTTTGAATCCAGCAGGGGGCATCTCTTCTTAATCACTAGGATGGGTTTGGATTTCTGTTCTGAAATGCCTGCTCAAGTTGACCTAGTTTAGCAAATGTTTTCAGGGTGAAGGGTGTTTCAGTACTCGGGTTCCTCTCTGGGCTCACATTTTCATCTAGATTTTCGACTGGTAGTTCCTCTTTGTTCTTCAGTACTTTCAGAAAAGGATTTTATTTACTTATTTGACAGAGAGAGAATGTAAGCAGGGGAGATGCAGAGGGAGAGGGAGAAGCAGGCTCCCCACTGAGCAGGGAACCTGACTTGGAGCTCCATCCCAGGACCCTGAGATCCTGACCTGAGCCAAAGGCAGATGCTTAACGGACTGAGCCACCCAGACCTCCCTGTTCTTCAGTACTTTTTTTTTTTTTAGATTTATTTATTTATTTATTTATTTATTTATTTATTTATTTGACAGGCAGTGATCACAAGTAGGCAGAGAGGCAGGCAGAGAGAGAGGAGGAAGCAGGCTCCCTGCTGAGCAGAGAGCCCGATGATGCCGATGATGCCGATGCGGGGCTCCATCCCAGGACCCTGGGATCATGACCTGAGCTGAAGGCAGAGGCTTTAACCCACTGAGCCACCCAGGAGCCCCTGTGAATCCTCAGTCTTACACAGTGCACAGTGCTCACCACAGCACATACAGTCCCCAATGTCCATCACCAAACCACCCCATCCATCCCACCCCCCTCCACTCCAGCAATCCTCAGTTTGTTTCCTGAGATTAAGAGTCTCTTACGGTTTGTCTCCCTCTCTGGTTTCTTCTAATTTCATTTTTTCCGGAGAAAGAAAATCTTTTTTTTTTTTAAGATTTTATTTATTCATTTGACAGACAGAGATCACAAGTAGGCAGAGAGGCAGGCAGAGAGAGAGGAAGGGAAGCAGGCTCCCCGCTGAGCAGAGAGCCCTGAGATCATGACCGGAGCCGAGCCTAAGGCAGAGGCTTTAACCCACTGAGCCACCCAGGTGACCCCGGGAGAGAAAAAATCTTAAGCAGGCTCCAGGCTCTGCGCAGAGCCTGACACGGAACTCGTTCTCACCACCCTGATATCATGACCTGCGCAGAAATCAAGAGTCAGACACTTAAGCAGCTTGAGTCATCCAGGCGCCCCTCTCCATGGCTTCGATTGAAAAGATTTTCCCAGTGATTCTAATAGGAACCTATCACTCATTAGAGATTCACTGGGGTAACTCTCGCCCCTTACAGAGGTGAAAGGAAGACTTCCTGACCCTTGACTAAGTTACCAAACCCTGTTCTGTAATCTGGTTACATCCATGCTTCTCTGATTAAAATATTCTCCTTGGGGTGCCTGGGTGGCTCAGTCATTGGGTGTCTGTCTTAGCTCAGGTCATGATCCCAGGGTACTGGCACTGGGCTGCCTAGGGCTCCCTGCTCAGCAGGAGGCCTGTTTCTCCCTCTCCCACTCCCCCTCCTTGTATTCCTTCTCTCAATGTCTCCATCTCTCTGTCAAATAAATGAATAAAATCTTAAAAAAAAAAGAAAGAAAGAAAGAAAGAAAGAAAGAAAGAAAGAAAGAAAGAAAGAAGAAAGAAAGAAAGAAAGAAAGAAAGAAAGAAAGAAAGAAAAAAAACTCCTTGTGGGGCACCTGGCTGGCACAGTGGGCGGAGCATGCAAACCTTGATCTCAGGGTTTTGAGTTTGAGCCCCACACTGGGTGTAGAGATTACTTAAAAATATATATTTTTTAAAATCTTAAAATAAAAAAGACTGTCCTAGTAAGCATTGCAAACATTTATTTTCCCAAGACCACAAGGCTGCTCCATCCCAGCCTTCCTACCTCAGCTGATGGAAACTCCTCTTTTAGTTGCTCAGGTTAAAAATCTCAGAGTGACTCTTAATTCGTGTCTTTATCTCATAACCCATTTCCAACCTTTTGAGAAATCCTGGGGGCTCTACCTTCAAAATATACCCAGAATCTGACCATCTTTCACCACATGCATCACCACCACTCTAGTTCAAGCTACCATCATCTCCTACACGCTGTGGCATGCATTCTTGCAATAACCTTCTAGCAGGCATGCCTGCTTCTGTCCTTGTCCCTCTGGTTAGTTCACAACCCAGCAGCCAGAATGGTTATTTTAAAATATGTCAGATGATGTCACCCTTCTGCTCAAAACACTGCAATGGCTCCCTATTTCGGAGTAAAGGCCAAGCATACAAGAAGCAGACAAAATCTGCACTCTCTCTCTCCCAGTTGCTTCCAGCACTCTCCCCTCACTCACAGTGCTCCCCCTGCCACACACACACACTTCTCCTTGCTGTTCTTCAGTAACACCAGCCAGCTGTTCCTTCCGCCTGGCATGCTCTTCCACCAGACAGCCCATTAGCTAACCATCTTTCCTCCTTCAATTCTCACTTTCTCATTTGTGTGTAATCTGGCCAAACCTGCTCCCTTGACCTTGCTCTACCTTAGTGCCCCCTTAGCCATGGTTTCACTTTCCGCAGTTTCCATTACACAGGGTCAACCACAGTTTGGAAACAGAGAATTCTTCCGAAGGTCAGTAGTAGCCTACACTGCAATGCCCACCTCATTCACCTTGCTTCCTCTCATCGTGTAAGCTCTTGATCATCTCACATTATCACAAGAAGAAGGGTGAGGACAGGACACTAAGATATTTTGAGACAGAGAGAGAGAGACCACATTCACAGAACTTTTACTACAGTATATTGTTATAATTGCTCTTTTTATTATTGTTGTTGTTAGTCTCTTACTATGCCTAATTTATAAATTAAACTTTATCATAGGTATGTATGTATGTATAGGAAAAAAAACACAGTATAAGTAAGGTTCAGTACTATCTGGGGTTTCAGGCATCCACTGGGGGTCTTGGAACATATTGTCACACACACACACACACACACACACACTCACATAGACACACACCCCTACAGAGGGGTCTACTGTGCTGTATTTTTCTGTACTGTGCTGTACTTCCCCCCCATAGCCTTGTCCCATCTTCTACATAATGTATTATCTCCCTTGTCTAAGAATAGAAGCTACAAGAAGGCAGAAATCTGTTTTGTTCACTGAGCCCAAGAACTAAGGAAAGTGTCTATCACAGTGGCTTAAAAAATGTCAAACGTAAACTTTATTTTTTTAATATAAAATTTGAATGCCTGTATTCCTCGCAATACTACAACTAAGAAGTATGACTAACCATATCAGGTCGTGGGACCCAGGGGATCTTGGACGCCCACTACCTTCACTCGCACCTAGAAGGGCAGCTACTTTGAACTGGAAACACTGAATTTTCAGCTCACCAAAGCCCTTACTCTGCTCAGCTTCTGCAAAGTGTGCGTCCCGGGCTCACCTTGTCCAACCTGGACGAGATTCCCCTTCCCCCAGCGCCAGGGTCATTCATTCAGCCAACCAGTCAAAATCTCCGTCCTTTCTGCGGCTTAAAGGACTTCGCTTTCCGAAAGTTTGTGCCAAGAGGGGCGGGGCGTAGCAAATTTAGCTGGTGGGCGGTACGCTGGGGCGGTTGCCTAGGTCACCGCGGGGCTTTACCCGGGCGGAGAGAAAATGGGTGGGGTGTGGAAGAGAACTTCCCTCCTCTATCACGGTTCGTCTTGGAATTGGCTCGCCACTGCCGGGCCACGCCCCCAACCGGGCTCTCGCCACGCCCCCAGCGGTTAGCAGTCTGGGGCCAGGTGCCGAAGCTCCAGCCTAGCGAGGAACCCTCAGAGCCCCGGACACAGGCGCACTTCTTCGGGTAATCGCCCCGGGCCGTCGCGGGGAGATGTGCTTCAGCCCCCGGGACCCTGTAGGGTCCCCGGTTATTCATTCACGCGGCGGTGCCAGCCTGGACCTGGATCCAGGGCCAGGAAATTTCTAGAAACCTCGGCCCAGGGCCGGCATCTCGCCCAAGTCGCGCTTAAAAGAGGGATTGGATTCAATAGAGGATCTCCAAGGAGCCAGCCCCGTCAGACAGATCCTTTTCTTCACGGAAGTCCCTGGGCTTCTGGGGGCTTTGGCTTCCTCAAGTGTAAACGAATAGACATCGGGAAACCCAGAACTGGCCGCAGCTCTGGGACTCACTTGCTGTGTGGCCTTGACCAAGACACACCCTATTAGTAGGCTTGTTCCCTCATCTCACTGCGAAGGGGATAGGACTTGATGTCCTCTAAGGTCCCTTTTCGTCCTTCCTAGTTATGAGGCTGCCCTGATAACACGTGTGAAGTTTCTTTGTAAGTGTTCCAGGAATGAGGGAAAAGTCTAGAATGGCATCTAAAAATAAAATAGGGACTGTTAACAGGGGAGTGAGAGCCTGCAGCTCAGGAGGTGTTGCTGGAAAGGAGAATGGAATAATCCTCTATACTTTAATCCCCTCACTTTACAGAGGAGAAAACTATGAGAGTAGCTAGGTCCGGCCGCTAATAGGAAGAACCCAGGTTTTCTGGCTTCACTGCATGATCAGTCCCTTTACACACAGTGTTGGCTAACAGAAAGCATAAACATGTAAAAGCAGGTAGAGAAATTTCCACAGAAATAAAAGCAATTTAGTTGGTAACTTTAAATCTTTTCAAGTTGGGGTGCCTGGTGGCTCAGTCATTAAGTGCCTGCCTTCCATGATCCCAGAGTCCTGGGATCAAGCCCTGCAATGGGCTCCCTGCTCAGCAGGAAACCTGTTTCTCTTCTCCTCCCACTCCCCTTGCTTCTGTTCCCTCTCTCACCGTGTCTCTTCTGTTGAATACATAAATAAAATCTTTTAAAAAATAAAATAAAACTTTTTAATTGAATTAGAAACTTCCCACTTTCGTTTACTTAAGATTTGTATCCTGCCTACATTTAGGGTGACCTTCAAAGCAGAAACAGAGCAATAAAAAATAAAACAGAAACAAGTTATTTCCCTCTTCTGCTTTTTCTTTCTGTCATCCTTACCTCCCCAGAAGAGCTTCTCAACTTCTGATGTTCCCAAACACCCCTCTGTAGTACTCTTCAGTGATCATCCACCCATCTTCCAAAAAAAAAAAAAAAAAAAAGCCAACTAAAGCCAAAACCCAGGTGTCACATGTATATAAAATGCCCAGATGAGGCAAATCTTATAGAGATGGAAAGTACATTAGTGGTTGCCCAAAGTACGTGTGTGTGTGTGTTAGGATTGAGGGGAAACAAGAAGTGACTCCTAATAGATATGAAGTTTATCCCAGGAATGAGGAAAATGTACTAAAATTTTGGTGACGGTTGCACAATTCTGTGAACAGACTGAAAATCCCTGGATTGTGCATTGCACTTTAAGTAAGTGCACAATATGTGAATTCTATCTCAATGAAGTTGAGAGCAAGAGAGACCTACCAGAAAGCAGTAACAGGGGCTGTGCTGTACCTGGGGCAACTGGCTGGCTCAGCCGGTGGAGTGCATCGCTCTCAATCCTGAGGTTGTGAGTTCAAGCCCCACACTGGGTGGAGAGATGACTAAAAATCTTTGAAAAAGGTGGGCGGTGGGTGGGGAAGGATACACATGGCAGAATAGAGCCTCACATGATATTGAAGAAGTGAGATAGAGAAAAATCAGAAAGAAAGGGAATGTTGAGGAGGAAAAGAAATCAACATTGATCTTTTGTGATTTTTTCCCCCTCCTGGGCTACTTCAGAGATGGCAGTGTGTGAGTAGCTTTTATCCTCATCTGGGCTGTCTTTCTTCTGGAGGAGCTCTTGGAGGGAGCACCATGTGTTGGGCTGTTCCACAATCTAGAGAAGTCCCCTCGGTCTCCCCATCTAACACTTCAGCACCTTCCCTGTCCTCCACACTCCCTAGCTCACTTTGTTTTTCCTTCTTTTTTTTTTAAGATTTTATTTATTTATTTGAGATCACAAGCAGGCAGAGAGGCAGGCAGAGAGAGAGGGGGAAGCAGGCTCCCTGCTGAGCAGAGAGCCCGTCACATCCCACTGGAATCATGACCTGAGCCGAAGGCAGAGACTTAACCCACTGAGCCACCCAGGCGCCCCTGTTTTTTCCTTCGTCTTAGTTGTCTGCCTTCCTTAGAATTTAATCTCTGTAAGGACAGGGATTTGGGGGTTTGGGTTTTAATTTTTAGCTGTTTTGTTCACAAGTGTATCTGCAGTGTCTGGAAGAGCCCAGAGTAGATAAATGAATGAGTAGATAAATGAAAGAATGAACTACAACACGCTGAGAAGGTCTCAAGAGTGTATATTGTAAATCTGACAGCTTCATAGCTCTGAGGCAAGGGACAGAAAGAAGCCTTTTTTTCCTCATTTGGACCCATCTTAAAGTGTGGGCAAGTACACACACATACACACACACACACACCCCTCTAGAGTTCAAGGAGAGAGGTCCAGATGACATCTGAATTGTGAGGGACTAGCATGATGAACTTGTAACTCATTACTCATAAGTTAAGAGTTTAAAAAAAAAACCAAACTGGATCATCGGGACGCTTGGGTGGCTCAGGGGGTTAAAGCCTCTGCCTTCAGCTCAGGTCGTGATCTCAGGGTCCTGGGATGGAGCCCCATATCGGGCTCCCTGCTCAGTGGGGAGCCTGCTTTCCCCACCCCTGCCTGCCTCTCTGCCTACTTATGATCTCTGTCAAATAAATAAAATCTTAAAAAAAAAACTGGATCATCGATATAGAGACAGCAGAGAGGATGAACACCAGCCACGTTTTTTTCTTTTTCTTTTTTTCTTTTTTTTATTTTTTTATTTTATTTTTATTTTTTATTTTATTTTTTTAAGTGCTCTCTACACCCCATGTGGGGCTCAAACCCACAACTCTAAGATCAGGAGTCGCATACCCCTCCAGTCACCTTTCTGACTACCGGGACTGGTTTCTGATCCAACTCCAGCTCTCAGAATCAGTTTAACGTTTGCAAAATTACGTAACATTCTAAAGCTTCACTTCCTTCTTCTGCACGATAGGAAAATACTTTCATAGTTGTAAGGATTCGGTGAGATAAAATATGAAAGCATGTGTCAGTCCCTGGCATGCAGTAGGTGTTTGATTAATTTTTGCTTTTGGGGGGGGGCGGAATTTCTCTCCTTGACCTTCTCCTTGTGAATACAGGCTTATTCCTCAAGAGTGTAAAGCTACATTGTCAGTTTGATTTTTTTTTAAATCCGGTTGTCACTTTGGACTTTTAAGCAGTTTTGAAGGGGGGACCTGGGTGGCTCAGTGGGTTGGACCTCTGCCTTCAGCTCAGGTTATGATCTCAGGGTCCTGGGATCAAGCCCCACATCAGGCTCTCTGCTCAGTGGCGAGCCTGCTTCCCCTTCTCTCTCTCTCTGCCTGCATCTCTGCCTACTTGTGACCTCTGTCAAATAAGTGAATACAATCTTTTAAAAAAAAATAAAGAGTTTTGAAGATATATATTAATTCTAAAAGTGCACTTTTCAATTATTTAAGTAAGGACTTAAGGATGTGAGAGAAAGTTAGAGAATGGGGAACTGGGTTTGGCGTTTGCTTCAGCTCTACCATTTGATGCGTTACCCAGAACCCTAAGAATTGGAATGCTGAGTCCCTGGGCCCTGCCCCAAATCCCTCTTCAGCCTGAGTTTTGTTTTTGTTTTGCTCTTAAAAAATGGAATTGAAGTACACATAATGTAACATTTGCCCCCTTAATATTGTCCAGGGTCCAGTTCAGTGGTATTAGGTATAGCCTCGGATATCCGCAAGGAGCACAGAGCTAAGCACAGGAGCGCTGGATTCAGCCCATATGGACTTGAACTCCTGGCTCAGCGCATTACTACGTGGCCTCAGGCAAGGCATGGAACTTCAGCCTTGACATCAGCAAAGAAGAGATACTCAGAGTCTTGACTCCAACATTGTAGGGCTGGAAGGAGGCCACGGGGATGAAGCCCTTGCCAGTGCTTGGCTCAGAGAGTGCCTCAGTGCATGTGAACCATTGTTGTTATTCTAGAGCTTGGAATTCAGAATCAGAATCAGGCTGGGTTTCACGCACAAGGTCACACGGATACAGCTGGGTCCTAGACATGGCTTCAGCTGAGTCCTGAGCAGAGCCTCCAGGTCGAGGGGTCTGTGCAGTGTTCCTGGCTCTCAGTACTGAGTAAGGCTTCTGTTCTCCATTCTCTTGGGGCTGCCTCTCTGTTCCTCTGCATCACTCAGGATTGGGGGAGAGTGGTGGGGGTGCCGTCTCCAGCCACAGGACTGGACTGAAACTCGGGATCTATAGCCTGTCTGGGGCCCCTCCTTAGGGCACATGTTTCCTCGGATTCTATGTGCCAGGCAGTGTGTCAGTCACTGGGACAGTGCCAAGATGGATCTGATTCAGACCCCTCCCTCTGGAATCTTACAACTGAACTAGGGGGATAAAATGGGCATGACTATGCCACTTACCCAGTTGATAAGTATTTATCGATCACATACCATGTGTACGACATCATATAAGATACTGAGTCACAGTCGCAAAAATCCCCAGGAGGGAGAAATGAT